TTAATCTGAAAATGTAGCAAGTGGGTGATGGAAGCTAGTACCAGAGGCTGAGAGGATGGAGTGATCATCTGCGCACTAACTGGGGGACTGAGAAGACTGGCAAATAACTTGAAAGTGAAGAAACCAGCCTCTAGTTGATGCAACAGAAAATAAAGTATTGAACCGCAGATTCATTCCTTCTCTATTTTTGTGTAGTCCTTTTCAGTCTTAGATAACACCTTTTTTTTTTTTTTTGCATAAAGTATCCTAAAAACAGGATGTAGCATTGCAGTAATAATGTAAAAGAGAACTACAGCTTGCTTATACACTTTACAAATGTATACCGTGAATGAATTAAAATGACTACAGACTATTAATTCTACAAAGTTAAACACTCAACTTGGAGAATGTTCTTATTAAAGCTATATATTTGACCTTGACCAACTGTGGTGCATATACACTGCTTTCAAATGATCATAGAATATATAGTTTTTTCCTAGATTGTTAGAGATAGGAAACATATACAGCATTTGCGCATTTCTGCTTTTTCTTTATACTTATGTAGTGTTCTTCCCCCATGGCTTATTTCAGCATATATATATATATATAGCAGTTTAAAAATACACATTTTTTTAATTTAAGAAAAACATATATTAAAAATTGTGAAATACTCCAACATTATAATTAGCCTACTCAACAAAATTTACTTAGACGCAATGCAGAGGATAAAGTAGTTAACAGTGAAGCTAAATTAGCTGCATAAGCATGTGCAATGCAGCTCTCTTTAGGTGCAATCTAGGGCTGAAGCAATTAATCACAAAATCTATACAACTATAACCTGATGTTGGACTAAATATTAAATATAATACATTTTTCCAATCTTACAGTTTGCTTTTTTTCCCACTACCACTCTCTGTTATTATACTTAATGTGTAGCACACTGTACAAGCATAACACACACCACTTTCCACTCTATGTCTGTGAACTGGTTTTATAATATGCCAGATATTACTGGGTGAAATATGTTTTCTGCAGTTAAAGATAGCTTAACAATTTTCTGCTTTCATGCTGACACCCTTTCCCTTCCTTGTCTGTTTTTTTTTTTAAAGTCTTTTTTTCCCAGATATAATTTCAGAGATTCAGCCTACTGAGTAGTACCCTCTTCACTGGTGCAGGGGAGAAAAGCCACGTGTCATGAAAAACACATTAAGGAATTTATAACTCTACATGATTGTAAAGTACTATATAAAATATTGCGCCACTTATGAAGCAGTAAAAACCTGTAACATTAGAGACTGATTCCCACATTACATATTCACAAAAGAGAAGAGTTAAGTCCTTAGAGGCAATTTTGAGAATAAAACGTACTTATAAGTAGCGATAATGGCTTTGAACTCATACCCTTCCATACAAGCGTAGTGACCTGCTATGCCCTACTACAGATGCCCAAAAGTATTTCAGCATCTGTGGCCTTCCTTGTACACGGAGCCTAGGGAAGGGATCCCAGCCCAATTTCTCTCCTGCTGTACTGCTGTTCCTTCCTTACTGTGTAATGTTCAATTATGCAAACTAGAAAGTTAACTCTTGAAGCCACATGCAGGCTACTTTACTTCCTAGTCGATCCTTAAACTCTTCCTACTGTTGGAGTCCATATAAGCTTTAAAAACAAAATTTTAAAGTTCTATCTATCTTCCCAGAAGTTTGAAATATGCTGATAACAGTGTGTGTACAGTTCAGTCTGAAGTTCTCTGATGCAAAGTCCACTAAAAAAAAACTCTTCCATGCCTCAGAAATTCCAGATGATACTGATTAGATTGAATGATGTGGAAGAAGCAAAAATTCAAGGCTCTCTCTTTTGCCATTTATGAGTTTAGCATGAAAATCCAAAGCAATTAATGTTTCATTGCTATGTTGAACGAGCCATGTATAGTGAAATGTAAAACATACTGTGTTCACTGGTGGATATTAATTTAAATTTTTCAGTTTTCATATCCCAGACATGTTGGTTATACTGCTGCCCAAATAAACCATAAAAGGTGTAGGAGCACTATTTCTTTTAGAGAAGAAGCCCAGAAAAGTGACAAGGCATTAAAACTCTGGTGTATGAAATATTTTGACTGCAAATAGGATGTTAAATATGGAACCAAACAACCCCTCTCCCCTGCCATTTTTACTACATTGCCAAATTGATATTATTATAGGATGAGTAATGTCCATTTCTTTTGCTTTTAAACTAGATCTTTCTGCAGTATTCCTTCACGTATGCATGCTGCACTTCAGCACACCATTGTTTGGCATGTTTGTTTCAGAAACAAGCTTACAATCTTACGTCATTGCACTTATTTACAATGACAATCTACAATTTATCTGCTTGAATTTGGTCCAATTTTCTAAACTCTCCAACATCTCAGATTTTACTTTATCCTCTACTCTTTAAAATCCCTGCTAGCGTAATAGTGGCAGGTTGGATAAGTGTAAGTTCAGCTCCTATCACAGGTCATTTACAAAGACATCAGATATCACCGCTTCTAACTAGCTATGCTCTGAAACTGTTCCCAGGCTTGCTTCGTTAGGACCACCTGATTTCTGCACAGAATATAATTCTGTTCAGTGGTTAAAGTGAAGGGGAAAAAGAGAGACTGAAAGCAATCTTTTCCCCATTATTACCTGATTCAAGCAAAGTACGTTTTTGGCCTGAGAAATCTTACATTCTGGGATTAGAGTACTGATAGTACAAAATATTTCTGTTTGTCAGAGATACCCAAATCTGCTCCTCGGTATGCAGCTATTTAAAATTCAGCATAATTTAACAAATTACTTTAATATTATGAGAAATGTCCAAGCACTGAAACAGAAATAATAACGAAGAGAAATTAAAGCAATAAACAAAGCTGTGAGACGAGTGTGTGAGTGCTCGTGAGATGAGCGTGTGAACATGCGATAGCGTGTGTCAGGCTGGACTGGCTGGTGAGTAGGAGACCCGTAGAACAGGTAAGAGGGCCTAGGATCCAGGCAGGGATATGAGAGAGGCTGGGAGCCTCGGCTGGTATTTGAGGGACCTGCGAATGGGGGCATGCTTATGAATCTAGGAAGTGAAGGGCATGTGTGTTTTCACTCATGAACTTCAATCAGAAAAGATGACTGTACTTGTGTTTCATGTGAGTCTTGGCAGAGTTACTCACGGGTGTTGCTAAAGACAGTGCCTGGTCTGTGGCAGCCTGTGCAGTCAGCCATGTGAGTGGCGTGTGTGTGCGTGTGTCCCCGAGATAAGTGCTAAGCACCACTACCCGCTGAACCTGGAAACACAAAAGCTGCAGTCACCTCCACTGGTGTGGAACTGAGAGACGTTCAGGTCTCCAGGTGCACCAGCAGCCTGGGATCCAGAGGACAAGGAGGAGGCATCCCCAGGTCCTGGAGTCCACCCAAGGCAGCAGCCTTATAACATCCCTCAGCAGTCACTCGAGTATCAGGAAACCACAGTTGTTTGTATGGTCCTAATTTGACCTGGTTTGTACTTGTGTTTGAAAATACTGTCTTTAATTACATGATCTCATTTATTTTTTCATAGTCAGTGTATAGGACAGATGATGCTTACCAAATTAACTGATGCAAATCCTTTTTGTGCAGTTCCTAGGCCTCATTTACTGCACAACACTGAAGCCTTAATCTGAGGATGAAGTTATGAATTTCCTGTGGGGTCTGTCAATAGAGTATCTAGGTGCTTCACATTCAAGAGGTATTTTCTTCATTCTCCAGATGTGGAACTGAGGCCCACAGCATCTCAACGAAAAGTCACAGCCGCAGTTCAGCGCCTATGTGTTAGCAAGTCAGGAGCATTAAAACAGGGAACACACTATTAATTTCCCCTCTGCAAAGTCCAGTTTAAATATCTTTCCTAGCAGATACAGACCTAACTCAAGTTCTCCAGAGCTGCACACAGCTGCCTTAGTCCTAAGACAATTTTTTCTGCAGCTGCAATCCTTTGGCATGTGACTGAACTCCTTTTAACTTCTTCAGTTAATGAGAAAGGTATGATTATATTTTTATTACACATTTTTGAGCACCACTAAAACCAATGCCTTGCAATAGGATACTTCAGGCAATATAATTTTAAAAAAAGCAGAAAAAAACACACAAAGTTTATATAGTCTCATCAGTAATATATCTCTAAGCACATGTTGGAGGAGATAAATATGTTGCCCCTATCCTACTGATGAGGAAGCTAACATACTGAGATACGAGAAATGGTTTGCTCTGTATCACTTATCAGGTGAACGACTCAGCTGAAAGAAGAGCCTCTCACTTACAAAGCATTTTTTTCTTCAGCATTTCAAAACATTTTACAACCATGGATATTATTTACTGCATCATCTACACATGCATAAATTCAGTAGCAGAATGACTACACAGTAACCAGTGAGAAAACCCAGTCCCATAATTCTGCAGTCAGTGAAGCTGATGGGATTGTAACAGGTGGAGCTGTGGAATAGTCCTGAAAATGCCATCCAAGTTTCTGCATAACTCCAAACAGTACAATTTATCGGTTTATTCAGCAAAAATACATTCCTCAGTTGTATTGGTGCTTAGATTTAAATACAAAAATATATTTCTGTTTTTCAGTTAAACAGGTATATATGGTAAACAAGAAAAGTCAAGAAATAAAACTTCCAGAAAGGAATGATCAATTTATAAAAAAAAAAAAAAAACCACAAAACTATACTTCTTAAATAAAATACTTGATACAAACTTTATCATTCCAGATAAGTCCCTTATCCTAAAGTGAAATGTACATACTAATCCAGTTGAAGACTCAGGCCACACAGCATATGCATATTGACCAAACAAACACAAAAATCACATGTAGTTATACCCTGTTTATTGTCTTCTGGAGTTTGTAACACAGAAAAAATGATTAATTTACCTGAAAGTGTAGAACGTGAATTGGCATTGCTCTTCCTGACCAATTGCTATTTGGTTAAGTTTGTATACTAAAGTTTAACGCTGTGGACATAGGCAAGGCTTTATTTCCTGTTCTTCACAGGAAGGATATCTGTGATCCAGTAGTGAAACAGTGACATGACTATCTTGGTATGATCTGAAACAAAGAAAACACATTCTTCCTGAAATACCTCTATAATATTTCTGAACATTAAAGACTTGTGTGAACATCCGTTTCCATTTGATATTAGCATTTCAGTAAAACCAATGCAGATACTGGAGCCTGAAGATAAGAATTTCTAGATAAACAGGTGCATTTCTTTTAGGTGATCAGTTATTTGTATGAGAAACAATTCTGGTTTTATATGTTGCAATGTCCTATTTGTTATGATTTGATAACTCGTCAAAAAAGGAGATTGAACTGACATGATCATACGGGTAAGGCTAAAAGAGTGCAATCTTCTCCACTTTCTGTCTGGAGAGTAATTTCATATATTATTATTTAACTTACAGTAGCACCTAGAAGCCCCAGTTGAGAATGAGTTGTCTTATACAGGCAGCCTCAAAATGCCATGGCTTCTGTCTTAGTTCAGAGATTATCCATGTGACTTTATTTATTTTTAATGACAAGACTTTCTACAGTACTTATCACATAATATCACATTTAAGATGATTCTATAATGTTATGCTAATATAACTTTCACATTTCATTTCCTTTTCTTTGAATGGTCATTTAAAAAAAAAAGGTTAAATTTAATCATTTTAGCTCCTCTCTGTATCCAGCCTGTGCATTGTTGGCACACAGAAACTGCATCACTTCTGGTCTGCAAAAGGTACAACCTCCACCCCCAACAGAGACATATATATATAGGACAACTCCCCCCAAAAAAGGCAGTTAAAAGAAGCTTGTACCTCTTCTGTGAGTGATAATTTCCTAGGCAACAAGGGAAGAGTATATTCGAGACTTGATACTAACCAACAAAGGGAAAATATGAATAGATAACGGAATGAAGTTGATGAGTAGAAGCTGAATGAGTTCATAAATTAGCAGATAATGACTTTTTTTAATTAGGCGATCACCTATGCTTTAATAATTGATGTGAAATGGGAATTAAGGAGCCCTCATTTCAAAAGCTACAGTCTCCAACCAGTAAATGGAGCATTACTTCCAGTCACAGCCTTTCTCCTTTGCCCACTGCACTGTGCAGGACCATGAAGGTGCCTGGCTTCCTTTTGCAAATGGCCACTGACCTTCTGACAGAGATCAGCAAGGCCCCATCACGAGAAATGCGTGTCTATTTGACTGGTTAACATTCTCTTCCCTGCATTTATACAAGACTTCAAAGAGAGGTAAGTACTTTTTGTCAAAGACTACCAAATAAATGGAAATAGTAACAGGACATTTTGGTTTCTTTTACAGTCTGAGAACAATGACACTTTAAATAGCCATGTTCAAACAAGAACTCTAGACCAACCTCAACTTCGTATGACTGCTGAAGTACAAGGTCAAAGGTAACTTGATGGAGTAACTTGAAGCACAAAGTACAAGGTAAGTTGACGGAGGATGACAACTAGACTGAACCAGTATCTCTTAACCATAGAGATTTTCTTGTTCAAGTATGTTTTCTCATTTAAATGAAGGGCTAAAGATAATAACGCTGGTAATTTTTCTGTTTCAATCTCCTTAGCAATTCCTGTTCCTTCAAAATTTTTCATGCCCTACCACCAATGTTGTTAGACTTTTCTTCGATATGACCACAAATATTGGGATCTAAGAGCTTGAGATAAAACAGAATTTTTTTTTTATTGCTTTTTTTTTCTTTTGGTTGAACCATGATTCCCAATCTCAATAACATACTAAGAGGTGTGAAGGAAACACCAAAACCTGGTCTTGAACCAGTGGTTTTCAATTTGTAGTCTGCAGACTTTGGGCAGTCCCTAGGTTTACTCTGAAGGGTCTGTAAGAAGTTACTAAGAAAAGCAAAATTTATCATCATAGGCATAGGCATAAATTCACCAAGTGGGACTTGGTAGCCCCAGCAGAAAATTAAACCATAACATATATATATATATATATATGAGGAAAAAAAAGATATATAATGGCATGTTTACTTTGTGAAGTTTACTAATGGAGAATGTGCACTTATGTGAAAGAGATGGATCACTTCTCATTTTTTTCCTACTCTTTCCTTCTTTGAATTAAAGATAAAACTGAACAAAACATAGCACCCATTATTATTCCTTTGATGGCGGCATCTTAAGTAGAATCATAACCATGGGAAAAAGGGTTAACATATTGCTTCTTGAACTACAGGGAATAAAATAGGTTCATTTTGTAAAAATAACACACCTTGCTAAAATTAAGAAGAAATTGTTTTCTTTCATCATGTTAACAAGGAATGACCTTTTCTTCTTGTACATCAAGCCCCAGTAAAAATAAACAAAACCAGAAAAAGGCAAGATAATAAAACTTTTTAAAAAAAATGAGATTACTATGATGTACTGTACATTTTTATCTTCATAAACAGCTCTAACCTGTATTTCTATAACAAGAACTTGAATTTGCTGAGACAATTTTTTGTAATAACTCTTAACTTTCATCATGTGTTAATTGGCAATGAAATATAAAATTTAAAAAAACTGGGCAAGATTACCTATTTTTGAGAAAAAAGAGGAAAAAAAAGTATAATTAAAAGGTAATTCAAGGTAAAATTTCAGAGCAGTATATTCTCATTCACTGAAATTCCTGAAATGTGAATAGAATGTATTGTTAAACTCTGCTAAGGCAAATTAATATCTAGCAGGTGTTTAATTATCCTTTAATAATTTATAACAATGTATTTTCCTCTTTCTTATGTTGTTGTACCTCATGAATATCAAATCAACTACTACGGTTACACCACTGTGAACGTGGAATGAGATTAGAATTGAGCCTGGAGGGACAACAGTTAGTAGGAAAAAAAATCACCTAGAAGAATAAACAATTTCTGGCTGTATCAGCAGAAACATAAATGAATTTAAAAAATCACTCAGAAAATTGTCTTCTGCTTTTTCAAGTGACAAATACATACATCAGAAAATTAGGGTAGTTGCATGGATTTATTTCTAATTTGCTTCTGTTTTCTTGTCTCTCTTCTGTTTGACACTTCCGCTATATAAAAGTAAACAGAGCAGCTTGCCTCAAGGCTGCAAAACCCAACAGAATTCCTGCTTTACTGAGCAGGATTTGGATAAGGCCTGGAAGAAAGATCCTGAATGTGGTCACTTAAACAGTTCCATTTTGATTTAATCATCAGAAACCGAATTAGATCATTTAGTAAAGGGCCAATACCATCACCATTATTCCTAGTACTTAGTTTGCAAATGTGTATTACACCTAATGAGACTATCTGATTATAACTAAGATCATAGACTCTAGGCTTGAAATTAATTATTGAATGTACAGAAGTATTTTGTTCCATGTATATGTGGATACTTCAGAACTATCACAACCTTAAGGGTTGTCATACTCCATATCTACACTTTAAGAATACATACATACTTCTGTAAGAGTGTCCTTTTCAAAATGTATCAGCTATGAACTCTACAGGCAGGAATTGTCTCTTTTCTGTGTTTTCACAATGCACAGCATGCAGTAGGCTCCAGTCTTGACTGGGATCTTTAGCCACTATCATGCTGTAAGTTATGTAATGATGTTACAAGCAGGAGCCTCTTTGAATGTTACTACTAAGCCTCTGATGGCTATGATCTTATTTAGTCTGTTACCACACTACTACCAGCTTCATTGTTACTCTTCAAAAGATTTAGAGCACAATCTAAAATGGTTGAGATTCTCTCATGCCATAGCAAGTGCTTGAAACTCTGATTAAATTCTTTGGGAGGCAAGAAAATTCAGCACATCTTGTAGATTTGGCTGATTCTGCAAAAAAGTACTAATGACATGTAACAATGACTTTTCAAATCAAGACTACTTGAAAAATGCATTATTATTATACCTGCTATGGACTACATACTGATCCCATATTGACTCAAGGAACTATTAACTTTCTAACAAGAAATTCTACTAAAATTATAGGGGTTGTAATAGACAACAAAGGCAGCATGAATGAAATCAGACTTCTGTCTCAGGGATGGAAAGATTTAGTAACAGAATAATTTTTCTTTTTATGAATGACTTATGAATTACATTTTTACGCAAGCAACAGTATTTTTTAGAAACTTATACTATTTGTTTATATTTAACCAAAAACAAACTTGGGCATGTAAAATCTATGTGTTAAAGCAGCCAGGTAGGTGACCAAGAAGAAATGAAATAATGGGCTTTATTTATTCTTATGCATGTAAAATTAATCCTTAACTGGATAAGTGAAATCTCCGAAATAAACAAGTTAATTCCCATGATTCAAAGTCTACAAAGAGAATGTATTAAAAATATGCTTTAAACATGATAAAATTGTAAAACACTTAAGATTTAAAAAATACTGTTTTAAGAAGCTGAATCATCTTGTACTCTATAGTTACTGCAAATTTTCTGTATTGATTGTAACCAAACAAGAAACAGCAAAACTCACTGTATTTTCAGAGGGAACTATGCTTTCAAATCCTATATAAGCATATATTTACCACTATATAATAATTTACAGCTTCCTAATTAAAAAAAAAACCTCTGACGAATCTGAATTTTAATCCACACAAAAAGAACATCAGGGAATGAACATGAGTGAATGGTACCTACCAGGAGGCAACATGGATTGTTCTTGGAATTGTTTCAAAGCATCCTTCAACCTCTCAATATCCTGTAGCAATACAAGGGATTTCAACTGATGTAGAAGAGTCACATCTGAGGAAGAGATGGTGCGAGATTCAAGATGCTGTAAAAGCTCTTGGGCAGTTGCTGAGTTTACAGCAGAATCCGTGCATTCTGATTTATCTGGAAAAACAATCGGAAAACCACACTGAAAATATTAAATGAGCACAAAGAATTTTTCTGATTATGTTTCCTTTTCAAAGACAGCATTTTCCTTTTTAGTACAACTTACAACTAAATATCAGGTACTAAAGAGCTGTTTGCTACTCCCATTTTTTGTAAATTTTAGAAAAATAGTAAGAGAGGAAAGTACAAAATTCAAAGTGTAAAAAGGACTCTAGGATTCATGGTGACCAGAATGCAAAAGGAATTGAAATTTTCAAGATTAGCAGAGGAAGGAGGTGTGATGAAGAAACTGCATTGTACCTAATGCACTGTGGTTTTGCTTCCTACACACTATGTATTACAAAAATGCACACACATGTGGAGACAGGGAACAACTCTGTGGAATGACTGCAAAGCACTTCTGAAGGCATCCACTTATCTTGTTATTGTACTTTTAGGTTTTTATTTAAAAAACGGATGCTACAGCATGCAAGATAGCAGAGGACATACATTTTTTCTACAGTACTAAAGTGTAAATTCATTCTTCCATTCCAGTAACAATGAAATGTCCCTTTAACCAGACGCCCTTTAATTCTTCTGGTTTTTATCCGCAAGCCAGCTGAAAAGAACAGATTTTTCCCAATTCAGCTTTCTGACATAAGTACAAGTACAATCCAATGTGACCATTTGAAAATGCTGCTAAAAGCAATGCCTTCCAATTTTATCTAAAAAAAAATAAGGAGTGTTAAAGTCACTCAACTAGAAAAGGCAAACAACATAATGTCAGATCTATATATAAACTGGGATTTGCCTAACAAGAAAGTTAGTCACACTCTGATTTATGGATGTGACATCTTATGTGCAGATGAACTTTCTTTTACCTGATAATTTCTCTCTGTGTATTCCAAGGTCCTCACTAGCTCAACCCTCCAACCTGCAGGTTTAACACCAGGGCCAGTCTGCCAACCATGGCTAAAACCTGAAGCTGACTTCCAGGAAAGCTAGAAGCTCAACACTTTTTCTTAAAATTCAACATGCAACACAGCTGTGGAAAATTGACCAGGTTTCTGTTCTGGGTCACGTATTAACAGCAGAACTGTTAACTGGGTTTACAATCTTGCTCAGTTACTCTGGAGTTCCACTACAGCAAATGGATGTATACTTAGCCATACACTGAAGTAGTAAAATTCTTATTTTTGGTGACAGAAATACATTAGCCAGAAAGTAGGATGGATTTCAAATGCTAGGCTTAATATGAAGACCTGACACAGCAGAAAAATTTTAATAAAATTCTATGTATGAAACTTGAGAAAAAATTAATGTGAAATCCCTGATGTCATCTTAACAGGGTTTTTAAATAATTCTGTAGTCTAAAGATGAATTTTATGGGACCAGGAGCTGACAGCTCTGACTTCAGATGGACTCATACAGGTAGGTAAGCTGTTTAATATTCTGCATTCAGCTCCACAAAGACAGTGAAGGCCATTCACTTTAAAAAAATTCTCACTGCTTTTTTCCAGTTTTACAAGACAGTTATAATGTTAAAGCTATGTTCTGACCAAAGCAACTGAAGAACACACTAGTTTGCCCTTAAGAAAATACATTTAATTCTAGATGACACCAACATAATCTGGTGTATGTACAGATAAGTACTATAGTATTTAACCATTAAAACTTCATTATTTCTGAAAGGCATTTATGACATAAGCACCACACAAGCAGCTTCTTAGGAAGGCAACAGAAGAAACATACAGTAGGAATCTGTCTGATTTTAGTGGCCAGATGAACATTCAATAGGCCATTAGGGATAACTGTGGTGGGTTAACCTTGGCTGGGTGCCATGTGCCCCCCAAGCTGTTCTACCACTCCCCTCCTCAGCAGGACAAGGTGGGGGAGAAAATAAAATGGAAAAAAACATGTGGTTCAAGATAAAGGCAGTTTCATATAGCAAAAGCAAAGGTGATGTGTGGAAACAAAGGAAAACAAAAGATTTATTCTCTGCTTCCCATCAGCAGGCAATGTCTGTCCACTTCCTGGGAAGCAGGGCTTCAGTACGTGTAGCGGTTGCTCCAGAAGACAAATGTTACAAATAATGAATGTCCCAGCTTCCTACTGCTTTCTCTTAGCATTTAGTGTTGAGCAGACATCATATGCTACGGAATATCCCCTTGGTCAGTCTGGGTCAGCTGTCCTGACCATGTCTCCTCCCAAGATCTTGCCCACCCCCAGCCTACTGGTGAGGGGGGGAGTGTTGGGGAGACAGCCTTGGTGCTGTGTGAGCGCTGCTCAGCAGCAGCCAGAACACTGCGACGGCTTTGGGGCTGTGGGAGCGCTGCTCAGCAGCAGCCAGAACACTGCTGTGTTATCAGCACCTCTCTAGCTACCAACACAGTGCACAGCACTATGAGGGCTGCTATGGGGAAAATTAACTCAGTCTCAGCCAGACCCAATACAATAACATCCATGCAATCCTTTTTAAAGTGCTATGGAATGTGCATTGAGCATCAGTTCACGTTCATCTTGTTCACAACTGTTTTATACCAATACACTTCCCTAGTGCCAACAGAATCTTCCCCTTTCCTCCTGGATGCTGTCTGTCTACATTTCTTTATATATTACAAAGAAATCTCCTCCTTGGAAGGAGAACTTTCTGAAAAGTAGGTTGTTTCAGAGACAGTAAGCATGAAAGTAGTTTAGGATAGCAATTACTGCCCTCATTTGAAGCTCTCTGAAAGCAAGTAATCCTTCTGGATGCTTGCAGAGAAAAGAAGAATCTGGTCCATTTTAACACTACATTTACACCAAGTTCTTTGGAATGTTTTAAAAAAGAGCAAGGAATATTGTGTATATTTTCAAAGTCAGAGAAACAAAGAGATTAGGACCATGTTTTTTTTATACTGATGTGAATTCTTACATATTCATGTACACACCAGAGAATGGGACAAATACTAAGTGCCCGCATGTCTTACTGAGTTCAAAAGAGACACTTCTCTAGCAGTTTTGGCCCATTCTACAGCAACAGTAAGTGCACATTTATTTTCCCCATGTGGTAATACTCATGAAAAGAAAGGAGAAAGCGTGGTACATACTGTCAGCAAAATAAATTTGTTGTGTTGCCTGCAGGAAGTCCAAAATGCTATCTGCCTTTTCATCTATGTCTTTTAAGCCTGCTGCTTCTTCTCTGCTGTTTTTATCAGGCTGATATGTAAAATCCACCCCGGTAGTTTTTGTTACCAAGCCAGCTGCTCTCATTTTTTGTTTCTGTCGCTTCTTTTTCATTTTCCTCTTCTTGTTTTTACTTAATTTGGGACTGTCTATCTGCTGCAGCTGTAAATTATCTTGAACAAGAGTCTCTTGGATTCCAGATTCTGTTTGTTCTCCATGTAAATTATTGGAGTTTTGCAAACTGCTCTTTTGTTTCTTTCTTCGAATGCGCTTTCTCTTGGTTTGTCCTTGATATTCTTCCTCTGCAGATTCAAAAGAGACAAGAGTTGTAAATACAAAGATCTGTAATAAGCATTTTGGAACTGCATACAATGAAATATTACTCCCTTCAAATTCTGGGATATCTGAGTCGCTCTAACCTTACTTTTATGCTTAGAATGCCTTTCAGTACTACAATGTCAAAGCTAACTTTTCTGAATGTATTGAGTTAGAAGACAAGTTCTTTTCCCTTCTGCTTTCAATAAAGACTGTACTCTCCTTCGTGCTACATACTTTACATCACATTTATTTTCTTAAGGCAAATGATAGGGCTCCACACAGAGAGGTGAGGTCAAAAGAATTACCAGGGCAAAAACCAGTATGGGCAGACTGGGGGACATGGGACGAGAGAGCTCCCCCAAGAGACCCACACTACCAGTTGGTAGACTTGACCAAGGACACAAGAATGCACGTAATTCACAACAGAAGATGACAGTGCTTATACTGATGATATCTCTCTGTGATAGTGCTGTGCCTTAAAACCACCAGGCATCTGTTTCTGATTCTTCTACTTTCTCCTTAAACATCCTTGTCCTTTGGGATATCTTACTGCTAGCTCAGCTTTGGACATCAACTTTACAGGGAAAGCGTGCAAGGCATTAGTGACTTTGGCAAGTAATCTCTGATCTCTTTAACAGCCTGTCTTGGTTCTGTCATTCCCTTGCTACATTACAATTTCCTTACTAGCTAATTCTTCAAAAGGCTCAACTGTCAAGGGGAAGAAGTCCCTCTTGCTCTCTAAGACAGCTATCATGCTTCTTTACTCAGATCTTACCCCTGTACACAGAGTTTTAAAGTAATCTCTGAGACTGAACTGACTGCCTCTCCCACACGCTCACTTCTGAGTGTAAGCCCTCCTGGCACTAGCAAAAGAAGAGTGCCAGAATCCATCTTCTGTTTGACTGCACTGCTGCTGAAGTCCATGTTCATGCCTACAATAATTCTTGTCTCATTAAATGAAATTCCTTCTTTCATGGTCTAACAAAATCCTCACAAGTTTAGACATCATGGAGGGCAGAATGCCAGTGTTCTTCTAATGTCTTGCTCTAGAAAGTTAAGCCATTTACCCTTCTCTCAACCTCTACTTGCATGTTTCTAAATTTCTCAAAGCGCACTGAGCCCCGTGGTCTTATTTATCTGGTTGTATGCCATTCTCTTACTTACTTGGTTTTACACCATTGCCTTAGGGTCAAGGTGTTGTTGCTTGGCTAACACTGATGTAACGCAGGAGAGATGCTTGAAGCCCAAAGCTTGTTTCTGAATGATTTGCATGGTCTCCTGAACTGCCTCTGACATTCTCAGCTTGTTTGGCTTTCTCATCACTCCTTCCCCTACCAGTCTTTGCCTCTATTTTCTCCATGGTTGGAGGCCCTCTGTTTCATTTTTGTTTCTTTTTCTGTCTTGAACTCTGTCAGCTCTGAGCCACCTTCTCTCTTTAAATATCACAACAAGACTTTTAGTTCTTTAGCTGACAGATGACTCACTGCAAAGCCATTTTCCATACTTCCTATGAAGAAGGCTGCATAAAAATAAATTTGCTGTGTTGTAACTGAACACCACAGCACGTTAAAGACACACCAAACACCACCTCGTACCCACAGTATGGAATGTTTTGCATGCATGGTATTTGAGCTAAATATCTTTAAACAGGATTTGGACATATGGGATGTGGGAAAAATAATGTCTGTGTCATCCTGTAGGAATAAAATATCAAGACTGAAGGCAGATATGGATGGTGAAAGATGCTACAAACAAAACATCAATGTTTCATCTTAAGATCTAATTTGGATTTTCATGGGAGTATTTGTGTCATAGTAGGTGGATTTCACTGTAAACATAGATACATTGTTCTGTAAAATTTCTCAGCCCTCTGTTAATCTGAACCACACTGTTTGCTAATGAACCTACTCTAATCCGTGCTCTCAGTAAAGTGCTCCAATGTGCTCCTTAAGCATCCAAGAAGCACTAAATCTCAGCAAAACTACAGCATGTTGTGCAGCAAAGCACCCTCCATTGGTTTGAAGCCACTTGAAAAAAATGGTGCAGAAGGCAGAAGAGGGCTTATGATAATTGATGTTTTGAGTCAAATCTGAAAGTTTGCTTATCCTTGGTAACTCAGGATAGCATAAGGTCTGAAGAGACCAGGGTGAAGCTGTCAAAAGGCAGAATGAATGTAGTCTTCCCATGTGTATGTGTACTGGGTCTGGATGTTAGATGGAGTTAATCTCCCCATAGCACATTAAGATAAATACCTGATTGAAAGGAAATCAGAACTGTGTTGAGCTTCCTCCAACACAGAAAACAAAACAAGCACAAGACTCTACCTAGTTGTCTTAAACGGGCAGTCCTCTAACAGTTTTTGTCATTCTTTGCCCCACATTTTAATAACTCTTTATTATCTGCTGCTCCATGTGTGGGAGCTACTAGTGATTCAACATCAGGAACAGATGAAAATAGATGTTGAAAAATGCAAAGCAATGCACACTAAAGAGATTAATTTGACCAACTCACTGATAGGGTTAGAGTGAACGGTTATCAGCGAAACCTGTGCATCGGTATGGAAAGCTCAATGAAAACACTTGCTCAGTGGGTGTCAGTGATCAAAACAGCAAACACCTTGCTTGCATACATAAGAAAGAGGATGGAAAATAACAGGAAAAATATTCCAAAGCTATTATACAAATCTCTTGTATTCTTCAAACTTGTAATTCCATGTTTCTTAGCATAAGAAAGCATCAGCTTTCTTAGTCACCAGTGGTGTTCCCCAGGGATGGGTTTTGGGGCCTGTCCTGTTTAACATCTTTATCAATGACCTGGATGGGGGGATTGAGTGCTCCCTCAGTAAGTTTGCTGATGATACCAAACTGAGCGGGTGTGTTGATCTCCTTGAGGGTAGGGAGGCTTTGCAGAGGGATCTGGACAGGCTGGAGCGATGGGCTGAGGCCAACTGTATGAGGTTCAATAAAGCCAAGTGCCGGGTCCTGCACTTTGGTCACAACAACCCCCTGCAACGCTACAGGCTCGGGGCAGAGTGGCTGGAAAGCTGCCCAGCAGAGAGGGACCTGGGGGTGCTGGTCAACAGCTGGCTGAACGTGAGCCAGCAGTGTGCCCAGGTGGCCAAGAAGGCCAACAGCATCCTGGCCTGCATCAGCAATAGTGTGGCCAGCAGGACTAGGGCAGGGATTGTGCCCCTGTACTCGGCACTGGTGAGGCTGCACCTTGAATCCTGTGTTCAGTTTTGGGCCTCTCAGTGCAAGAAGGACACTGAGGTGCTGGAGCAGGTCCAGAGAAGGGCAATGAAGCTGGTGAAGGGTCTGGAGCACAGGTCTGA